TGTCTGAGGAGTTGTCTGGGTTTTCACTAGAGAGTTCGACTGCGTGAGCTCTCTGCTAGTACACACGTACCGAGTTGACTGTTACAACGAGTTGTCTGTGGGTTGGCATCGTCCGATGATGCCCAAGAGTCGTCCGAGTACGAGCTACGTACGAATACTCGCAGTAACCGGCGAATACTGACGAATATAGACCGTTTTTCTCGAAAAGTCTGTGTTCTCGAAGCTCCTAGGCCCTTAGAGAAGGGATGTATACGCCTAGGAATTAATTAGAGTTGTCTAATTGGTGAAAATGAGTTGGCAGGAGAGACCTTGAGTCATCTAATTATTCGGTGGGGAGAAAAATGTTAGGCCGTCGATAGAGTACCTTAGACCAAGTCAGAACACGATTAGTGAGGAGAAAATTAAGTCATTCTGTTGAGAATTAATCAATTCTCAGTTTGAATTGCTAGATGACAGGAACTTCGGCGGCCATCTTGGGACTACGTCGATAACCAATCGACCAAATAATCAATATTTCTCAATCTAGTCACTCATTTGACTAATTTTCAGTGTCCCGTTTGACTAATAAAGTTCCTGTCGCTATTTTTTTCGTGTTCTTGTTCACGTTTACATGAATTCTGATTCTTCTCTCAAAATTCTTCATTTTCTGAGTCAATCATTAGTACTAGTGCAACTTAAATTCAACAGTCACATTCAAACTGTCATTCTATAGCATAATCAAATCATATTTTTGGGCAAGTCGTGTTAAATTCACATAAGAAAATCAAAATTCATTCTTGCATTGCATTGATAGGCTAACGCCATGTGCACAATCACATTTTCTTGACTTGTAAAGCGTGTTGACATTCAATTAAAATTCAGTGATTTCCAACACCATTCAGTCTTCTTATTCAGTGACAAAAAGTCTTACAGTGTTCTTTGTGTATTGTTGGTGCTAAAAATAAAGATATTATATATTTATAAAACCTGTCTTCATAATTGCTCCGATCCAGCACAATCATCCCTATCCTTAAACGGTTAGGTTATTCAAAAGTTTAGATTTTCTTAACACATTCAAACCACAAATTTATTATTTAAAACTTCATTTAATTAATTCATCTTTATGAGTTGTAAGTGTGCCACACTGATCGTTACTCAAAAATTCTTTCTATTATCTGAAAAGTAACATAGTTTTATACTTTTTTATATATTTTTTTTATGCTTTATTACTGAAGAATAATTGAATTGATAAGTGAGAGTCTCTTCAATGAGAATACGAGAATAAGCATATTAATTTCGTGTTGCACTTAAAAAACCGTGTGTGATATCCAAAGTACTGGATAAATAAATATCCTGGAGAAAAAAATTTTCTCTTGAAATTGAACAAATTTTAAAATCAGTACAAACGCACTAATTACTACAGGATTACCAGAAAAAAAAGTTTGGAAAAAAGGCTGCAGTGACCCAGAATCGAACCTAAATACCCCCGTTCCAATCCAGACTAGCTACTTACACCATTGATTGTTCTGGATACTGGAAATTGTTTTTAATGTTATAGTTGCGATTGTAGTAAAGTATAATTCATCCTTCCCAATGTATTTATTCGCGATTCAGCATGTGAATTGATTTATTCTTATCAGTACATTTTTTTATCATTATCATTTTTTCTTAATAAAAGCATACAATTCAAGTTAGTGTATTGTTCCATCCAATAATATTGACTATTGCCAAAACTAGTCAATTACACGTTTTGCATAATACATGATTGTCACTCATTAATCGAATTTATTTCATTTTTAGATTTTAAAGTTTCTTTTATCAATGGATAAAAATGAGTATTTATTTATATATACAATCCAGCTGTCTTCGAGGTTTGGTGACAGTCACCAAAATTCCATATCAATACTGTTCGTGATGTTACTATGACTTTTACATCAGATTTAATATTTCTTAATTTTAAAAATTATAATTGACTAATTTATGCAACACTTAATTTTATAGGACAAAAAACAGTAGACTAACTTGAGTTCGATGCTTTTATTAAAAAAAAATGAAACATGATTCCGACAAAAAAAATGGACTACTAATAATCAATAAATTTACATGCTGAATCGCAAATAAATACATTGGAACAGTAGCATTAAACTTTTGTTGTATACCTCAATGACGAGACAATTGTTTCGTAAGAAAATCCTTATTGATATTTATATATAAAACGTTCTGCTGGTTATGAATGTGAGCCAAAGACTATCTTTTTGAGAGTGGGTGACTGATCCGGGTGTAGGAAGCTGAGTGTCTGCCGCAAGGATGTTGTCTCAAGTTGGGAGTAGGGGTGGACCCAAAATTAGGAAGGAATAAATTTAGTTTTGAGGATTAGAGAAGGCGTAGGGATAGATAGAACTTTTTTATATATTTATATTATATAGAATGGTTACATAACATCTCCCATGCTGAGTTTGAAAATAAGTATTTTCAAACTCTTGTTAATGATTTTAACAGAGCACTTTCAGAGATACAAAAGGTATAATTGTTAAATATCATCTAAAATTCTATATATGTATGGAAACACATGATTGAATATTTATAACTTAATTGTAATGATTAATAATAGAAATTTTTAAACCTAAGGAAATGATTCTCATTAAAAGTCTTTGTTTTTCAAAATACATTAATGTAATAAAGATGGAGAAGTATAATGAAATTGAATCTGCAAGTGATTAGTTTGATCGTCTCTTCTGATTCTATTTCTCATTGAGACCTAACTTGTTAGAATTGTTTTGGTATCTTGTCCTAAGATCGGTGTCGAATTGGCAGTTAACGAAATTTTTGTTAATCGGTGATAAAATTTTACCATTTCTGAGTTGCGAGTAAAATAAAATAGACGTTTTAGTAATCGGAAACATCCACAACACTAGCAGCAGTAAATAATTGTGATGAAAAAGATGTCAATGTAGATTATGAATAACGTCGGCGTATACCATGATGTAGATGAAATAATAGAGGATTCGGATACATGTTTGCGTATGATGCTGTCAACTTCATCTCATTTTTTGTTGGCAATTTTTAGATTATTTGAATCCATTTAAGTGAGTTTGATTACATGTAGATTTGGTGAGTTCAGTTTTTCTTCGGTGAATGTTGGTAAACAGCAGTCATTATCATTGATTTTTGGAGATGGAATATAAAATGTAATGTTATCATCAGTATAATCGTTTGGTTCCAATATATGATTTTTGGTATAACCTTTGCAGTGGTTTTTAAGGTAAAGTATTCCAGAATGTGGGAGGAAAATGTCTTCCATTTTATTACTATGATGACATAGAAGAGTGACTGTGACTGGAGATTGAATTATATACATATATCCATCGATTTCAGTTAAGGTAGATCCATGTTTCGCTATTGGCTTGTTGAGTTTTGATGTGACAATCATCTGGTATATAATTGGAATGTTGCATCAGGAACTGAAGTTCACATTTGTTGTAATTGAAGCCTTGGATTGTGTAGATGCTGAAGCATACGTGTCGTCTTTTTTTTTTACTGTTTATATCGACAAGTCTTGCAATAGGATATATTGGTTTTTGGATGAAGATAGTGCAAGGAATGGAAAACTAGGTTTAATGTAGGTGAATAATAAGGGATTTTGAGGATAGATAGGGTATGATATTATTTGATAGAGATCATATTTAATTTCATTAGCTAAAGGGATTTTTAAAGTAAAAACTATAGTGTTGTCTTGAAAGATAATATCAACATCTATGAGTTGATAAATGATCAAAATGTTTCGTGATGTAGGTTCAATTAATAAGTCATGATCTCTTTTATAGGCAAATAATGCTTTAAGTGTAATGAACGTTAATGATATTATGTTATCTGATGCAAGGTGAATAGCTTCACTTATATTATTACATTCAATGTAAACTTTATTGACGAGAGCAGAAAAGGTGGCTACGTGTTCGTTAAGAGTAGTAAAATTTGGAATTGCCAGTTCCACGATAAAATTCATTAGATTTTGTGTAAATGAATCGCTCGGTGTAGGGTGAGAGTGATTATTGCGATTCGAACTTGTGGAAGGAGTTGGATTTTGGTAATTCATGTTTACCGATGATACGTTATTTTGATTTTGTTGTCACTTTTTGTAATTGTATTTTTTTTTTCCTACATTCTTCTATTACATGACCGATTTTACGGCAATAACAGCATTGCTCAATTCGTTTTTGTTGAGAGTTAGAGTTAGCAGTGAAGTTAGAATTAGGTGTATTTCCAACATTAGCAACGTTTATGGGTTTAGTATTAAGATGATTTTAATGGTTCCAATTTTCTGGTGTGGATTTAAAACGGACATTCATGAGTTGAGTGGTTGGTTCGTGAACAAGTTTTACATTTTTAGGTATTATTATCCCATCAAAGTTAGAGGGCTTTTTCCTTACACATTGCCGCGGTAAGAGCGCTGTTTATCGTGGCGAATTCACGATATCGTAACATTTGTGAGATTTGGGGATGAGAATGAAACATGAACCCATTTAGAGTCATGTCTGTTATCATGGCAATTCTTCCCATGCGTTTATTATAGTCAGTCTCTGTTAAATGTACTACAGCTAATATCCTGGAAGTTAGATCTTCTAATCGTTGGTAGAATTGAGAAACAGATTCGTTTCGGCCTGGACGGAGACTATTACGATCTTCTAACAGTTGACCAATGGACTTTTTGTCTTGTCGCAAAGTATATCAATTTGCTCTCTAGCTTTACCGATTATTCTGCACTTGACAAAAAGTAGCAATGGAATTCTTTGGTTATTCTGCACAATTTCCAATACTGTAGCTACTTGCTTAATAGAACTACGTATTTTTAATCGATTCCCATCTAATCTATCACGGATTAATTTAGTTAAAAATTCTAGAGATAAATTTGAATTTGCAGATGAAACTTCTGCTGTCGCTATTATGATGTGGGTTAGGTTTTAGAAAAAGAAGGTTGTAAGATTTCCAGATTTTCGAATTATGAATATTGTAAAAGTACTTACGATCTGCTACGATGTTATTAGTGCTGAAATTGCTAGTTTTAGAAGTCAGCCAATTCTGGATCACAGCTCAACTGGCTATCTTAGGGTTACTGCACTCACTGATTGATGTGGAATTCCAATTTTCATTCAGGTCGTCGTGCGTCTTAGTGGGTCGTTATCGATAAACAATAAAAATTGACACTTTTTTTGCACATTAAAGAGTCTCTAATTCTTTGCAAACACTGTACTTTAATGCGTTGACGTCCCGAATCCTTGTCGCCAATTGTGTTGTGTACCTCAATGACGAGACAATTGTTTCGTAAGAAAATCCTTTATTGATATTTATATAGAAAACATACGAAAAGAGGTTGAAATTGTTCTGCTGGTTATGAATGTTAGCCAAAGACTATCTTTTTGAGAGTGGGTAACTGATCCGAGTGTAGGAAGCTGGGTGTCTGCCGCAAGGATGTTGTCTCAAGTTGGGAGTAGGGGTGGACCCAAAATTAGGAAGGAATAAATTTAGGTTTGAGGATTGGAGGAGGCGTAAGGATAGGGTTTCAAAATTTGTTCTCATTCAATATATCGACGATGTAAAGTCAATTTTTAAGATCTTATTTATAATTTGTTAACAATTATCGACTGCTCTTTTTTATTCTCTTATTTTTCATCAACAATTTCAAATAAATTCGTTGAACAAACTTTGTAACTATTCTGGAAGTTCGGTGACTGACATCAATTATTTAATGTGATACTTTCATTGATTTCTCGATTAAATTCGTAATGAAAATAAATTACTTTACTCATACATGTAAGTTGTTCGTTTTCCAGTGCAAATTGTTTACTGAATTAATGGTGACCTAATTGGTTGTTAACCCTACTGTTTATGATGAACTAGCTTTTACCTGCAACAATGTCTGCGTAGGATATCAAAAATAAAAACTATGCCAATCGATGAAAATTTCCTAAAAGCCTAAAGAAAAGCATCATAATAAAAAGAAAGTTTCGTAACATACTATTACTCCAAAGAAGTAATCTATATCTATACTACTGTATAAATTTCTGGTGTTAGTCTCTTTGTTCGGGGTAATCTCCAAAACGGCTAATTCGATTGCAACCAAATTTTGCAACCGTTTGAAGGGGGTTGTTGGAAATATTATAGACTACTTTTTGTTATGTGAATTGTTTATAATAGTTAAACTTGTTGTAAACAATGAAAAACGGAATCCATTCGATGTATTTGAGCTCTTCCAACGCATAAGTGATTTACTGAAACAATCTCATTCCCTGTGTGCTCCTGCAACTGGAAGAATTAAGAAACTACATCGCTACTGGCCTGGAACTGTTGCATTTCAAGAAATTCGTCGTTATCAGAAAAGTACTGAGTTACTCATCTGTAAATTGCCATTCCAACGGCTTGGTCGCGACATCACTCAGGACTTCAAAACACTTGAGATTCCAGAGCTCAGCTGTGATAGCTCTTTAAAAAGTCAGCGAGGCATACCTCGTTGGTCTTTTTGAAGATACCAACTTGTGCGCCATTCACGCAAAACAGGTGACCATCATGCCCAAAGACATTCAACTTGCTCGTTGTATTCGAGGAGAGCGAGCTTAAACTGCTCCAGTGACCATAATATTACTTTTTTGTATGAATATATTATTTGCGAATATATTACTTTTTTATGAATCCTATCACACAGCAATAGCTTTCTGTAATTGGTCTATTCACAGTCGAAGTCGCGGGGATTTGCTAATATATAATATAAAAGTAAAAAGTGAATTATAATATTATTGATATTTTGTTTTACAGTTTGTAATTTTGCACAGATAATTGACATGTTATATCAACGATTTCAAAGTTTTTGATCGACAGCTTATAAGTATTCTTCAAAAATTTTTTGCAAAACTGATCAAGTGAACCGATATCAGCTACCGAAAGTAGTGCGTTACATATAAAACATGTTGATGTAAACATTCTGCTAATGATCGCCCGAAAATCATGTAACCTTAACGTAATAAAATTAAAGTAAAATAGTATATTGGCATGTTTCAGCTTTTCTCGATTATAAATAATTTTTAATGATGCTTTCCTTCTTAGAAAAAGTTATGTTGCAAGAATGCATAATGAGTACTCTATTGATGGTTTCTTTAAAAACTCAAAAATTTTCTGATAATTATTTTGAATAGACAGATAAATACTGTAATTTTTTTTAAATCGACTCCGAATTAATATTTAGTAATTTTTTTTTAAATTTTGTGAATAGTTGGCGATAGTCAGCAATCAGCTCTATCCCTACTATTTATGATGTTAAATATCTGTTATCGATACTATTAATCCTTAGGAACTCATGATTCAGGATTGAGTGTGTTTAAATTCAATTTTTGAATCCTAAGTTATATAACTGGTTCATTCTAATTTTTCTAGATGTTAGATTTATAAAAATTCAATGAATTCGAAGTCATTTTGAAAGATCGGTGACAGTCACCGAGGTTTTGTGAAAGACCTATTTTTTGCAATAAATTTCGATATTTACTCTGTTATTCTGCTTCCCCTAGATTCTTGAAAAACAGAACTTAGATTATTATATGGTGTTTAACTGTATATTCGACATTTGTCGTGTTTTCCTGTTACTTGTTTTTTTTTTTTTTTGTTTTTAAAATTATTTTGGATGTTCGGTGACCGTCACGAAACTTCCATAATCGTTGTAGGGAAGTTTGGTAATAGTCACCAAACTTTCACTCTGGTCGCACGAAATGTTACCAAACTTCCACTTGCACGTACATATATACGTATGTATGTACATTGTAGATATGTCAGCATTTTTTTCGTTTTCGATATCTAAAGAACGGATCGAGATATCAACTTCAACTGAAATTCATTCAAAAGATATCATTATAAAGAAGATCTGAAAGAAATTTAAACCAATTCGGTTCAGCCTTTTTTTAAACAAAAAAACTAATCTATATGAATAAAATTAAAGTGTCTGTCTGTGATTTTGAAAAAACTGTCTTAAACTAAGCTCAGAAGGGTATTCGCATGCTGTTAAAATGTAAAAAACGATTTTTAAAATTTTTTTCTGTTTGTTCGGGGTAATCTCAGAAACGGCTGAACCGGTTTCAATGAAACTTTGCAGACATAAAAATGGGGTGTTTAGAAGTGACATGTATTTTTTTCGTTTATATAAATTGTTTATAACAATTGCATTTGTACGAGTTCTTCCAACGCGATATTTTTTCTTTTACTGAAAAAAAGTTCTTAACCATGCAACATGCATAAACACAGACTTTTTTTTTACAACAATTGAATTTGATATAAAAAATTTAAAAGGGGATCTATGCAACCTACCTAAGTTTTGCCAATGGCAAATGTTTTCTTTTACTGAAGGAGAGTTACTAACCATGTAACATGAGCATAATATAACTGTCTTCGATACTTACATCTGTAAAAGCCTGGAACATTCTAGAAAATTCTCAAAAATATTAGAACTTTTTCTAATTTTTCAGAGTATCCAATAAGATTATTCGGAATTTCAGAAGATTGCTATAATTTTGAGCAATTTAATCAATTTATTGAACCTGATGGATGATTTATTCATTATTTACTTCGACGAAAGTAGAGTGAGGCTACCTTAACAAACAACTAGAAATTATAAGTGCGTTCTCCGAGGGCGTCGTTACCACACTAAAACCACGAACATGTTATATCGGAATCTTCTATGCTATACTACCATATAAAATTCAGGGGTCTGTTTGTTTGTCCGCGATAATCCTCGAAACGGTTCATCCGATTGCAACCAAAATTTGCTTACATGTAATCGAGGGTGTTGGAAAGGTTATTGGCGACTTTTTGTTTATGTAAATTGTTTATAACAATTGAAAACGGGATCTATGCAAGATATTTAAGTTCTTCCAACAGGAAATTTTTTTAACATTAATGGAGAGTAGCCTTTTTTTATAACAATTCAATCGTTGCAGAGGAGCAAAAATAAAATTTTATGATAGAATTTTCATTTTTACCGTTCTTCATGAATGTCTACAAATTCGTGACTTCTCGTTTAATACTATTGCAGCGCCATGCGTATTTAAATTGGCTAATTTATATTATGAAATTACCATTCAAAACATTTTCGATTAGTCTTCCATTATGGTTATGTAAAAGAAAAAATTAGGATCCTATCGTGCGACTCATTTTTTAATTATTTATAACAAATTTACTGGTTGCAAATAGGGAGAGTCCGTTTCTATTTATGTTACAGTGTTAATAACTTTTTTCTGAAGGACTCAAAATTTATTGCATCGATCCCATTTTCAATTTTTTATAACAAATTTTATTATGATGAAAGATGACACTAAAATTCGATTCGTGTCATATTGTTCGTGCTTATTTTTCCGTTAAAGACGGAATTTCCTATTGACAGAACTCGAATGTTAACCGAAAACTCGACGTCACTATTACAGCTTGGTCACGAATACGATTAATGTAAAAAATTAGTATTTTGATAGGTGAAAAAATGTATTTGTGGTACTATGTTTGAAATGAATTACAAACAAAATTACCAAATTTGTTTCGATGTGATCATTTCTAATTTTCAAATTCCGATTCGAATCTTGCTTATTTGTTGATATTGATGTAAAAGCCTGTTTAAAAAATTGTTTTTTATCCAAAATTATTTTGATTATATGTGATAATTGTACACTATTGTGACTTCAAATTTCATAATTTTTTAAGAAGCAGTGACTCATTAAATTCTGATGGACATAATATATTCAGGAATTGACATGCTTGACTTTTAGTGATTTGAGAAGTGTTGTTATTATTTCAAATGATAAAATTTTATAGAAATAGCGTTTTATGAATGATGATCATCGACCTCGTCATTTATGCTTGGCACGGAATTTTATTAGGCCCTCAATTAAAAAATGCATCACTTCAAAAGACTCTACTAAAATAAACGTATCTATTTAATATATCACTTTTTATATTTCATACATTAACTGGTGGATTCCCGAGCATTAGTTTGCGTGATGTACATAATTGCTTTAAATGATAATAGATTGATTGAAAAAGTTTTTAAGGCGCCTCGAGCGGAAAAATATAGGTATATAAAAATATATAGACCTTTGCACACTAGTTTTAGGCAAATAAGTAGATAAAATAATGAAATACCTACAGGAAAAGATTCGCGCAACAACAATCTATGGAATGAAACGAGATGAGGACGATTGGTTGAAGAATAAGCAAAATAGTCTAAAACAATTTGACAGATTGCTTTTCATATTTCTAACTCCTACTTGTTTACATATGGCCGACCAAAATCTGTCAAATCGCTTTAGACTTTTAATTTCGGATATTTTGCTTATTCTTCAACCAATCGTCCTCATCTCGTTTCATTCCATAGATTGTTGTTGCGCGAATCTTTTTCTGTAGGTATTATATTATTTTATCTACTTATTTGCCTAAAACTAGTGTGCAAAGGTCCATATACTTTTATGTACCTATATTTTTCCGCTCGAGGCGCCTTAGTAGTTAATTCGTAGTTTGAATTAGCCGACTTCAAATACGCATTGCTTTGGGATAGTAATTAAATAAAAGTTATAAATTCGTAAATATTAATTTAAAGAGAATAAATTTGAATTTTATCGTAAGATTTAATTTCTCCTTCTTTACAACGATTTAATTGTAATAAATAAAAAAAACGTTCTCCATTCATGTTACATAGTCAGTAACTTTGCTTTATTAAATAGAAAATTATCCGCGGGTAAAACCTTTATGTATTGCGTAATTTTTTTCAAGTATTATTAACGAGAAGAGTTCGTTTCTATTCATGTAACGTAGTTGATAAGTCGTTTTCAGACAAAGAAAAAATTCCCGTTGGAAAAACTTGAATACGTTACATAGATCCCGTTTGTAATTTTTTATAACAAATTCAGTTGTTATAAACAATTCATATAGAGAAAAATTGATCAAAAATTATCCTATTTTTTAAGTTGGTTTCAATTACAGACATTTACAGAGTTTGATCAAAATTCGTCCAAAAGTTTCAGAGTTTATCCTGATCATACATCGTGATACAAGGTTTTTATATATATACAAAATTTTTAATATAGATCATAAAAAAAAATCGTGAAAATCTTGTTAAGAACAAATTTAAGTATGATAAAATAGTCTTTTATAGATATAAATAAATTTCTGAACAAGCTTCCGAAAGTTTCATCTCAATTAAAATTTTTTTGTCAACAAATTTTAATCTTGAAACATTTTAAAGTTGGGAAAATTAGGATTCATTTCGAAATTTACATTTTTTTCTGATAACATGCCTCTGGAACAAATTTTTATTATCAATTGCTTGACTATTATCCTATAATTTTTAATATGATATTGGTTTCCTGTTATTACGTTTCTCTTTATATGAAGTATTGATTTGCTAAAATTATCACAATAAGACTTGATAGAAACATCATAAAAGCAATTTTGATTAATTTTTGTCGTAAGTTGTACTAATTTGTATACCGTATTTTATTATACTTAACGAATTTAATTTTATATGAGTAATATCAGTTCTACAATGGAGTCAATTTTTATGCACTATTGACAACAAAGACTTTTTTGAAGTATAAAGTGCATGAATTTATATGTATCGTACAGTCACACCGATAAAGTTACTATTCAAGATGTTTACACTCATCTTTCAAATAATACAAATAAAGTAGCACATGTCTATAATTGTTCTTACAATGCAATCACTTATTTTTGCTAACTGAATATCTCCAATATTATAATGCTTCTGAAATGAGATTGAACGTTTAAAACTGTTAAATATTAATTTTCGAGATTTGTAATATATTCAATTACGTAGATATCATTTACAAAACGATTTAAGAATACATAAGATTATTTCTCTATTATTAAAAAGAAAAATATGTAAGTCATTCTAATCGATGTAAATAACTGCACTCTACATTAGCCTGTGAATAAGGTTACCGTATTTTTTGTTATTAATTAATAATCAATGCTTAGCATTCAATTTTTAATTTGGTCACTTTATATCATCAATCACGGACCACATTAGTAATATGTCAATATTCCACATCATTTTTGACAGAACTATTTTTCAGAGAAAAAAAAATTAGAAATATTAGTAATGGAATTAACAATTGTAAAACCCTGAATTTTTATACCTTCAAAATAATGATAAATATCAACACAAAAATTGGTAATTACTGACAATGTTTCGATTACAAGTTTTTCAAAAAATAATTAATGTGTAGTAGAAAATAATAAATTATACATATTTTACCTGGTAAAAATACATAATACCATCAGTTTTTCATTTCGACAGTAAAATTGAAATTAAAATTCTAATTTGATGTATACAATAATAACATTTAATTAACACTATACTGGTTTTCGATGAAAGATAATTCAGCTAAAAAAAAGATTGTAGTAGACGAATTTAATTTGGCTCATTCTATAATGTTAATTCTGTTCTATCTTCCATACTGTTGTTCATCGCGCAAGCGCTGGACAGTTAACAGGTAAAGAAAATTCAATCGAACGTGACGATACTATGCTCTTTAATTGACTATACTCTAAACAAGACAAGATATTCTCGATCAAAATTCTCTGGAGCTCAATAAAAAAAAACATTCCCTTCCGTGTCGCTGCCAAGGATACACTCGAGATCATTAATGTCTCTAATTAGCAATTACCAACAGCAGTATATTCTACATAGAATTTTTCAGTATGTGAAATAACTTTTTTCATTATTAAAAATGTACAAAGGTCTGTTGCCAATAAATATAATTATAGAGAACTCCTAAAAAAAAAATTAATGAGCTATTTCTGTTCTATTCGAACATAACATAAATAATAACAATGTATTTATCTTGAAAAAATTATTGCTAA